CAATCCCCACCCTTCTACCCCTCCCCTCCTCCCGCCGAGTCCTCCCTCCCACCCCTTTCCTTCCTGTCCTCCCTCCCCTTTCACCCCATACCCTCCTTGTCCCTCCCCCTTCACAGGATCCCCCGCCCCTCATCCCAGTATCCTCTGAGACCCTGTTATCCACCTCACAGGTCCTCACACCCATGGAACAGCTTCCCCCACCAATAGAACACTCACCAAGGAGGCGATTTGAGAAGGGACAGAAGAAAGTGAACCTCAAAGCAATGTACACTAACATAGATGGAATTACAAATAAAGCAAATGAGCTTGGAGAACGGGTACTAGAGGAAAACCCAGACATAATAGCCCTCACAGAAACAAAGCTAACGAAAACGATAACAAACGCAGTGTTCCCACAGGACTATTACGTTATGAGGAAAGAGAGGGAAGGAAGAGGTGGGGGTGGTGTAGCTCTGCTGGTAAGAAAAGGCTGGGATTTTGAGGAGATGGTTATTCAGGGCTGTGAAGGTTTCAGTGACTACATAGTAGGTACCATAACAAATGGAGGGAAAAAATTATAGTCGTAGTCGTATATAATCCACCACCAAACGACGGAAGACCTAGACAGGAATATGATAGAAACAACATGGCCACCATTAACATAATAGAAAGAGCAGATTCTGTTCCTAGCAGGAATGGATCTGGACTACTAATTATGGGAGACTTCAACTATGAAAAGATAGATTGGGAGAACAGAGACCCACATGGAGGACCAGAAACATGGAGAGCTAAGCTGCTGGACGTGGCAACAAGAAACTTTCTAAGCCAGCACATCAAAAAACCAACAAGAATGAGAGGAGAAGATAAACCAGCAATGCTTGATTTGATATTTACCCTAAATGAATGGGATATAAGGGAAGTTAAGATGGAAGCGCCCTTGGGAATGAGTGACCACAGTGTATTGAACTTTGAGTACCTGGTAGAGCTAGGAATTATCTCCCCCAAAAAAGAACTAGGAATCAAAAGGCTGGCATACCGAAAGGGGAATTATGAAAGATGAGAAGTTTCCTAAGTGAAATACCTTGGGACACAGACCTCAGAGATAAGTCTGTACAGGGTATGATGGACTATGTTACCCAAAAGTGTCAGGAGGCAGTAAACAGGTTCATCCCGGCCCAAAGGGAAAAATCCGAGAAGCAACAGAAGAATCCATGGTATAATAGGGCATGTATGGAAGCGAAGAAACTGATCAAAAGGGCGTGGAGGAACTTCCGGAACAACAGATCACCAGAAAGCAGAGAGAGATACCAGAGAACCAGGAATGAGTACGTCAGGGTGAGAAGAGAAGCAGAGAAAAGCTTTGAAAATGATATAGCAAACAAAGCCAAGACCGAACCAAAGCTACTCCACAGTCACATCAGAAGGAAAACAACAGTGAAAGAACAGGTACTGAAACTTAGAACAGGCGAGGACAGGTATACAGAGAATGACAAAGAGGTGTGTGAAGAACTCAATAAGAGGTTCCAGGAGGTCTTCACAATAGAACAAGGTGAGGTCACTGTGCTAGGAGAAAGGGAGGTAAACCAGGCGGCCTTGGAAGAGTTCGAAATTATGAGAGAGGAGGTCAAGAGACACCTGCTGGATCTGGATGTTAGAAAGGCTGTTGGTCCAGACGGGATCTCACCATGGATACTGAAAGAGTGTGCAAAGGCACTTTGCTTGCCACTCTCCATAGTGTATAGTAGGTCACTGGAGACGGGAGACCTACCAGAAATATGGAAGACGGCGAATGTGGTCCCAATATACAAAAAAAGACGACAGGCAAGAGGCACTGAACTACAGGCCAGTGTCCTTGACTTGTATACCATGCTAGGTGATGGAGAAGATCGTGAGAAAAAACCTGGTAACACATCTGGAGAGAAGCGACTTCGTGACAAATCGCCAACATGGCTTCAGGGAGGGTAAATCTTGCCTTACAGGCTTGATGGAATTCTACGATCAGGTGACAAAGATTAAGTAAGGAAGAGAGGGCTGGGCGGACTGCATTTTCTTGGATTGTCGGAAAGCCTTTGACACAGTACCGCATAAGAGCCTGGTACATAAGCTGGAGAGACAGGCAGGTGTAGCTGGTAAGGAGTTCCAGTGGATAAGGGAGTACCTAAGCAATAGGAAGCAGAGAGTTACGGTGAGGGGTGAGACGTCCGATTGGCGTGAAGTCACCAGTGGAGTCCCACAGGGCTCTGTACTCGGTCCTATCTTGTTTCTGATATATGTAAATGATCTCCCGGCGGGTATCGATTCATTTCTCTCAATGCTTGCGGACGATGCTAAAATTATGAGAAGGATTAAAACAGAAGAGGACTGTTTGAGGCTTCAAGAAGACCTAGACAAGCTGAAGGAATGGTAGAACAAATGGTTGTTAGAGTTTAACCCAACCAAATGTAATGTAATGAAGATAGGTGTAGGGAGCAGGAGGCCAGGCACAAGGTATCATCTGGGAGAGGAAATTCTTCAGGAGTCAGAGAAAGAAAAAGACTTGGGGGTTGATATCACCCCAGACCTGTTTCCTGCAGCACATATCAAGAGGATAACATCAGCGGCATATGCCAGGCTGGCCAACATACGAACGGCATTCAGAAACTTGTGTAAAGAATCATTCAGAACTTTGTATACCACATATGTCAGGCCAATCCTGGAGTATGCAGCCCCAGCATGGAGTCCATATCTAGTCAAGGATTAGACTAAACTGGAAAAGGGTCAAAGGTTTGCCACCAGACTAGTACCCGAGCTGAGAGGTATGAGCTACGAGGAGAGACTACGGGAATTAAACCTCACTTCGCTGGAAGACAGAAGAGTTAGGGAGTTAGGGGGGACATGATCACCACATTCAAGATTCTGAAGGGAATTGATAGGGTAGATAAAGACAGGCTATTTAACACAAGGGGCACACGCACCAGGGGACACAGGTGGAAACTGATTGCCCAAAATGAGCCACAGAGATATTAGAAAGAACTTTTTTAGTGTCAGAGTGGTTGACAAATGGAATGCATTAGGAAGTGATGTGGTGGAGGCTGACTCCATACACAGTTTCAAGTGTAGATATGATAGAGTCCAATAGGCTCAGGAATCTGTACACCTGTTGATTGGCGGTTGAGAGGCGGGACCAAAGAGCCAGAGCTCAACCCCCGCAAACACAACTAGGTGAGTACACACACACACACACACACACACACACACACACACACACACACACGCACACACATCCCACACCCCACACCCTCCCTGTCCCTCCTTCACTTGACCACCCACTCCTCACCCCAGTATCCTCTGAGACCCTGTTATTCACCTCACAAATCCTCACACCCATGAAACAGCTTCCCCCACCAGCAGAACACTCAGCAAGGAGGCGATATGAGAAAGGACAGAAAAAAGTGAACCTCCAGGCAATATACACTAAAAAAGATGGAATTACAAATAAAGCAAATGAACTTGGAGAATGGGTACTAAAAGAAAACCCAGACATAATAGCACTCACAGAAACAAAGCTAACGAAAACCATAACAAATGCAGTGTTCCCACAGGACTACTGTGTTGTGAGGAAAGAGAGATAAGGAAGAGGAGGTGGTGGTGAAGCTTTGCTGGTAAGAAATGGCTGGGGTTTTGAGGAGATAGTTATTCAGGGCTGTGAAGGTTTCAGTGACTACATAAAAGGTACTATAGCAACTGGAGGACAAAAAATGATAGTCGTAGTCATATATAATCCACCACCAAATGACAGAAGACCCAGACAGGAAAATAATAGAGATAATATGGCCACCATTAACATAATAGAGAGAGCAGCTTCTGTTGCTAGCAGGAATGGATCTGGACTACTAATCACGGTAGACTTCAACTATGGGAAGATAGATTGGGAGAACAGAGACCCACATGGAAGACCAGATACATGGAGAGCTAAGCTGCTGGATATGGCAACAAGAAACTTTCTAAACCAACACATCAAGGGACCAACAAAAATGAGAGGAGAAGATGAACCAGCCATGCTTGATCTGATATTTGCCCTAAATGAATAGGACATAAGGGAAGTTAGGTTGGAAGCCCCCTTGAGAATTAGTGATCACAGTGTATTGATCTTCGAGTACCTGGTAGAGCTAGGAATTATCTCCCCCCGAATAGAACTGGGAAACAAAAGGTTGGCATACCGAAAAGGAAATTATGAGATGAGAAGTTTCCTGAGGGCTATACTATGGGACACAGACCTCAGAGCTAGGTCTGTACAAGACATGATGGACTATGTCACCCAAAAGTGTCAGGAGGCAGTAAACAGGTTCATCCCGGCCCAAAAAGAAAAATCCGAGAAGCAAAAGGAGAATCCATGGTTTAATAGTGCATGTTTGGAAGCAAAGGAAATGAACAAAAGGGCGAGGATGAACTTCTGAAATAACTTGGCAACAAAAAGCAGAGAGAGATGCCAGAGAATCAGGAATGAGTATGTTAGTGTGAGAAGAGAAACAGAGAAAAATTATGAAAATGATAGCAAGCAAAGCCAAGACCGAACCAAAACTACTCCACAGTCACATCAGGAGGAAAACAACGGTGAAAGAACAGGTTATGATAGAACAGGCGAGGACAGGTATACAGAGAATGACAAAGAGGTGTGTGAAGAACTCAACAAGAGGTTCCAGGAGGTCTTCACAATAGAACAAGGTGAGGTCACTGCACTAGGAGAGGGGGCAGTAAACCAGGCGGCCTTGGAAGGGTTCGAAATTACAAGAGATGAGGTCAAGAGACACCTATTAGATCTGGACGTAAGAAAGGCTGTTGGTTCTGACGGGATCTCGCCATGAGTTTTTGAAAGAGTGTACAGAGGCACTCTGCTTGCCACTCTCCATTGTGTATAGTAGGTCACTGGAAATGAGAGACCTACCAGAAATGTGGAAGACGGCTAATGTGGTCTCAATATACAAAAAGGGTGACAGACAAGAGGCACTGAACTACAGACCAGTGTCTTTCACTTGTATACCATGCAAGGTGATGGAGAAGATGGTGAGGAAAAAACCTAGTAAAGCATCTAGCGAGAATTGACTTCGTGACAAATCACCAACATGGGTTCAGGGAGGGTAAATCTTGCCTTACAGGCTTAACAGAGTTCTACGACCAGGTGACAAAGATTAAGCAAGAAAGAGAAGGCTGGGCGGACTGCATTTTCTTGGACAGTCGGAAAGTCTTTGACACAGTACCCCATAAGAGGCTGGGGCATAAGCTGGAAAGACAGGCAGGAGTGACTGGTAAGGTGCTCCGGTGGATAAGGTAGTAAGCAATAGGAAGCATAGAGTTACAGTTAGGGGTGAGATCTAAGATTGGCATGGAGCCAATTCAGGTTACAGAGCCCTGTGGAGTCCCACAGGGCTCTGTACTCGGTTCTATCCTGTTTCCGAAATATGTAAATGATCTCCCGGAGGGTATAGACTCATTCCTCTCAATGTTTGCTGATGACGCCAAAATTATGAGAAGGATTAAGACAGAGGAAGACTGCATGAGGCTTCAAGAAGACCTAGATAAACTGAAGGAATGGCAGAACAAGTGGTTGTTGGAGTTTAACCCAAGTAAATGTAATGTAATGAAGATAGATGTAGGGGAGCAGAAGACAAGATAAATGGTATCATTTGGGAGATTAAATTTTTCAAGAGTCAGAGAGAGAGAAAGACTTGGGGGTTGATATCACGCCACACCTGTCCCCTGAAGCCCATATCAAGTGGATAACATCAGCGGCATACGCCAGGTTGGCTAACATAAGAACGGCATTTAGAAACTTGTGTATTGAATCATTCAGAACTTTGTATATCACATATGTCAGACCAATCCTGGAGTATGCAGCTGCAATATGGAGTCCATATCTAGTCAAGCATAAGACTAAACTGGAGAAGGTTCCAAGGTTTGCCATCAGACTAGTACCCGAGCTGAGAGGTATGAGCTACGAGGAGAGACTACGGGAGTTAAACCTCACCTCGCTGGAAGACAGAAGAGTTAGGCTGGACATGATCACCTCATACAAGATTCTCAAAGGAATTGATAGGGTAGATAAGGACATGCTATTTAACCCAAGGGGCACATGCACTAGAGGACACAGGTGGAAATTGAGTGCCCAAATCAGCCACAGAGATATTAGAAAGAACTTTTTTAGTGTCAGAAAGGTTGGCAAAAGGAATGCATTAGGAAGTGATGTGGTGGAGGCTGACTTCATACACAATTTCAAGTGTAGATATGATAGAGCCCAATAGGCTCAGGAACCTGTACACCTGTTGATTGACAGTTGAGAGCGGGCCAAAGAACCAGAGCTCAATCCCCGCAAGCACAAATAGGTGAGTACAAATAGGTGAGTACACACACACACACACACACACACACACACACACACACACACACACACACACACACACACACACACACACACATTGGTGGCTGAGTGGATAGCTCGCTAGATATGTAATCCTGTGGTCCGGGGTTCTATTCCCAGCGCCGGCTGAAACAAAAATGGGCAGAGTTTCTTTCACCCTAATGCCCCTGTTATCTAGCAGTAAATAGGTACCTGGGACAAAAGAGCAGAGCACAATCCCAGTAAGCACAACTAGGTGAATACACACGCATCTCCTGTTTAAATGCTCATTACTCAGTTAATTCTACTAAAGTTTAAACTGGTGACTAGTGATGAATGAGGAAAAAGAAATATACAAATATACTTATGTTTATATTAACGTGGTGTAGGAGGAGGGACTGAATTGCTACATCTTTATCAGGCATCAGAAAGACGGAACAATTCTCTCTATCAGTATCTGAAGGAAAACAAAAATTATTTTATAATGCTGACTTTAACTCTGACGGAGAATAATATAAAATAGGAAGATGATTCACTTATAGACGATTATAACCTCTAGTAAGAAAAGGAAAAAACACAATACCTACAGTTCCCACAATACGTCTTGTCACACCCCAATGCATCATTTATCATACTGTCCAGCTCCTGTATTAGTGCATAGTTGACAGAAAAGTTTACACCCATTGTATGGTGGTAGCTTGTATCTTCCTCTACACGATTGACACTTGTAACTGATCCTTTATCAGGATCAGTGTGATACACACACACCTGGATCTTCACTACTCCGAGGGTGATAACAAACTAGCCAGGATCAGGTCTTCCCCAGGTCATGTTTATCCAGGGTATAACAATGCCCTCTGGCGCGGAAAAAGGGAACTATGGGGAAAGGGACCAAATGGAGACGTTTATTACTCTCCCCTGCCAGATGTATGGACCTGGATTCTACTCTCTCTCTCTCTCTCTCTCTCTCTCTCTCTCTCTCTCTCTCTCTCTCTCTCTCTCTCTCTCTCTCTCTCTCTCTCTCTCTCTCTCTCTCTCTCTCTCTCTCTCTCTCTCTTCTTTCATTTAATGTTTCTAGTATTCTTAAACTTATACTATTTGCTGACGATACTACCTTCATCTATTTGGACCCAACCCCCACACTCTAAATAATATTGTCAGTAATGAATTAAAAAATGTCCACTCATGGATGACTACTAACAAACTCACATTAAACATAGAAAAGACTTACTACATTTTATTTGGTAGTAAATCATCAAATCAAATTCAAAATCAAATCAGACAATGTTAACATCAGCAATATGTTTCCCACTCTGCTCTCCTCTCATTATACTATGCGAAAATCTATCCCTATCTTACATACGGTATCTGCATGGGGTTCAACCACTACAAATTACCTCAGGCCCATCATCACTTAGCAAAAATCTGCTATCAGAGCTATAACAAACTCTGTCTTCAGACAACACACAGCCCCTCTATTTATGTCCCTTAACATGCTAAAGATATACTCACTCCACACATTCTCATGTGCTATTTACATGTACAAAACCTTGTTCCTAAATGCTAATCTTGATCTGACACTTTTCCTTGATAGGTGTAATAGAACCCATGAGCACCACACCAGAAATAAATCTCTTTGATATCCCTAAAATCAAACTAAATCTGTGCAAACACTCCATGCAAATAAAAGGACTCAGACTTTAGAACTTACTCCGTGACGAATTAATAAATTGTCTAACCTATGCCTTATTCAAAAGTAAAATAAAAAAGTACCTAATTTCATCCTCATAATTTCCTACCTTGTGCTCCAAACTCACACTTTAGCTTGTGCTTCCCACTTCCCCAATATTAGTACTTAAGACATATTTCTTTACCTGTGTAATCACCTCAGTCAATTTATAGTGTAGTAATTTGTTGATATAAAAATGTCAACATACACTTACAGTGTCACAATGCGACAAACCATCGCCATCACTGGTCTGGCTGGCAGCAGGAATACCTAATCCGGAGAAGTTTCCTTTCCGCGAGGTGAACATGACCCTGCAGGATGGGAGAGTACTGTCACTCCCTCCAGACTGTCTGTCTTCTGGCCTTCAGTATGGCCCCACCCAAGGGTAAGTGAAAATATTTTATATATAACATGTTTTATTATAATATTAGTTAAAATCACTCTATAGTGTGTCTCAGTCTTAAACAGGTAAAACTGATTTAGATGATAATTAAACCATTACTTTACCTTAACTGATAATGTACAGGTGTTAAATGTATTTTACTGCAGATTAAGTAGAAGAAGGAAGGGTAGTTAACTATGGAGGCATTTTATTTTTTCTGAAGATGATGATGCCCTTTCCCTTGTGAAGTGTGATTATTTTTTTAGAGTTGAGAGATATATGAGGTGTGATTTCTGAAAGATGTATATACATCAGCATCCACTCCAGATGAAGACCTCTGAATTTCCGTTCCGCCTGTTCGAACGACCGAATTTGAGATTGGTAACTGGTGCCTTATTTACCGAATCATTAGCCATTAAATCTGGAGTATGGTATTGAGTTTACTGAGTCCGGTCCTCCTTAAACTGGAGGCCACTATTGCGTTTGCTATGTATCAAGAGGGGGTTGGGGGGGGTTATTATACAATGAAACTTGGGTTATTTAAACCAACCAGATGCTTGTTTACCGTCGAACAGAGACCCCAACCTCTCCCTGACAGAACAGCCGACCTCGTTAACCCCAGCAAACACAAAACGTTGTGGAAACCTTCACCAAAGTTTCAACAAGATTGTGGGGAGAGATAAGTGTCATGTGTGCACAAGGCACATATGAGCAACCTTTAACCCAAGAATGGTAAAAGTATTTCTTTATGTAATATGGCAAATGCTGCCTTTTCTTACAATAGTTTCACGTTTATTTATTAAAAAAATATTTTGTTCATGTTTAAATATTAAATTTATGAACATTATACATATAAATTGTGAATGTTGTGTCTTAGTTGTATGATTGGCGTGCAAAACATTTACTTTTTATTATGATTTTGCTAAAAAAAAATTATAACCCTGTTTGCTAAATGATGTATTCAATAATACTGTTTTTATGTTTAAGTTATATTTAAGTACTGTATGTGTAATACATCAACATAAATGGAAAATGTTGCTTCATATGTGTCGGAAGGACACACGCAACATTTAAGCTACCATTTTTGTTAATACAAAATTAGGGTGCATCAAAATACCTCTCTATCACATGCATCTGTATTACAATAGATTTTACATTAAATATCACTGAAGCACAAATAGGGGAGTACAACTAGGTAAGTACAACTGCATGAGTGCAACTAGGAGAGTACATGTAGCTAGGTGAGTACGCCTTGGTGAACACTGCTAGGTGAGTACGCCTTGGTGAACACTGCTAGATGAGTACGCCTTGGTGAACACTGCTAGATGAGTACGCCTTGGTGAATACTGCTAGATGAGTGCGCCTTGGTGAACACTGCTAGATGAGTACGCCTTGGTGAACACTGCTAGATGAGTACGCCTTGGTGAACACTGCTAGATGAGTATGCCTTGGTGAACACTGCTAGATGAGTACGCCTTGGTGAACACTGCTAGATGAGTACGCCTTGGTGAACACTGCTAGATGAGTACGCCTTGGTGAACACTGCTAGATGAGTACGCCTTGGTGAACACTGCTAGATGAGTACGCCTTGGTGAACACTGCTCGATGAGTACGCCTTGGTGAACACTGCTAGATGAGTACGCCTTGGTGAATACTGCTAGATGAGTACGCCTTGGTGAACACTGCTAGATGAGTACGCCTTGGTGAACACTGCTAGATGAGTACGCCTTGGTGAACACTGCTAGATGAGTACGCCTTGGTGAACACTGCTAGATGAGTACGCCTTGGTGAATACTGCTAGATGAGTACGCCTTGGTGAACACTGCTAGATGAGTGCGCCTTGGTGAACACTGCTAGATGAATACAAGTAGGTGAGTACAACTACACGAGAACAACTAGGAGAGTGCATATAGGTCAGTACAACTTGGTGAGCTCTACTAGGTGAGTACAACTACATGAGAACAACTAGGGTCCCCCCTTTTTTTTTTTTGAAGTAAAGAGGAAGGAGAGGCATAGGTGAAGGGAAGTATAGAAGTGGGAAATACAGTGAGAGGTATGAAAGCAGGCGGGCTGTCCGCCTTGCTGACACGATGTGTGGGTGTTGGCAGCTAAGCTAAGCTGGCTCCCTCTTGTCAGGGAGCTGTGAGTGTGTGAGAGGTTCTTCACATGTGTTTCACCATATATGGATGTCCATAGATGAATACTGTGTAGCATTCATATATACACACTCCGATGCTTCCACACATGTTGTTCTGTTTAAGGCTCTTTATTTTATTATTATTATTTATCGAGTTGTTCATACACACATATTATTATTTATCGAGTTGTTCATATATACACATATATATCTCATCTGGGGATTATATACTGTGGGGCGGGGTTTTCATCCAGAGAATCGAGGCTCTTGGGCCACCAGCTGTGGGAGCGGGGCGTCTCATCTTGGAGCAATCTTTCAAACATTGGGTCCTCTAACATTTCGATGGTGTTCCACACCCTGATGGCTTGGTGCTGCAGTCTGATGTTTAGTGGCTGTATGTTCAGGAGTTCATGGAGCTCCTGGATTGTCTGATCATATGGTGGACGGTGTTTTGCTGCTCTCCTTAGCGCCTTATTTTGTACTGCTTGCAGTTTCTGCATGTTAGTTTTCTTTATGGTGTGTAGTGGTACTGGGGGATACTCTAGATGCGGCCGAACTAGAGCCTTATATAGGTGGATCTGAATGTTAGTACTGAGGCTTCGGAATCTTCTCAGTTTTCCTAATGCTGCTTTGGCTTTGTTTAGTCGGTCCCTTACATGAATTTGTATCCCTGTTCTATTTATCATAAGTCCCAGTATTCTGCCTACCTCCGCATATTGGATCGGATGGTTGTCAAGGATGATGGGGTCCGGGTTTCTTTTCGCAATGTGTATTATCTGAAACTTTTGTTTGTTGGTGCTAATTTTCCATTGCTTCTCAAAGTTGTTTATGAGTTCAATTGCCGCCTTGGTCTTGTCGGCTAGTAGCGGCTTTGATGGTCCCGGTTGGCAAATTATTTGGGTGACATCGTCAGCGTATGTGATGTATTCTCCATGTTGGGGTTGGGGTAGGTCAGCTGTATATATGTTGAATAGAGTGGGGGAGAGGCAGCTTCCTTGTGGTACTCCACTTTTCAGTTCTATTACGTCACCCAAGTAGCTGCCGATATTAAGCCTAGCAGTTCTATTGTCTATAAAGCTGCAGAGAGTAGCAGTAAATCTCTCAGGAAGCCCTAGTTCAGATATCTTATATTTTAGGCCTGTGTGCCACACTTTGTCGAAGGCTTTCGAGACGTCCCTAAGCACTATATTACACTGATCTTTTTTCGACACTGCGTTGGCTATATGCTCGTAGATCAGGGCTATAGCTGTATGGGCCCCTCTGCGGTTTCTAAACCCATGCTGCCTGGTGTTATACTTCCCTTCCTCTTCCATGTACTTCACAAGTCTCTGATTGATAATTTTTTCGAATATTTTACCTGGTACTTCGAGGAGGGAAATTGGCCTGTAGTTTTCAGTTTGGGTTGGGGGTTTACCTGGCTTGGGGATTAATCTTATTGTGGCATTCTTGAAGTATGTGGGGAATAGTCCAGATGCAAGAGCTGCATTTAAGATACATGTGTATTGATGGAGTGCAATCACTGGTAGGTTGGATAATACCATCTTATTTATTTTGCTGTTGCCCGGCGCCTTGTTCTTGAAACCCATAATTGTTTTATGGACCTCTGCAATGGTTATGTGTTTCATAAGGTGGCAGTCATCGCGTATGTTGTTAAGGTCTATTGTTTGCGTCGGGAGTAGTGCTGCAGCTCTGTTATCGACTTGAGTTGTAATTTCCCTTTCATTAATTGGGCAAAAATTTAAATTTTATTCCGGGTTTATCCTAAATATTTTTTCCCAGAACTCCCTGAATTTCTGCTCTTGTTCTCTCTCCTCGTAGAGTTTATTTCCTGAGGCGTCTATGATGTAGGGTGTTTCCTGAGGCGTCTATGATGTAGCGTGTTTCCTCAGAAGAGCTTCCCATCAGGGTCTTTACTTTTTTCCAGAACTTTCCCGGGTTTCTGTAGTCGACTTGGATTTTGCTTATTAGGTCATCCCATTGTCCTCTTCGAGCTCCTCCTCCTCCTTCCTCCTCAAGCTCCTTCATCTTCTACTCTTCCTCCTCGACTTCACCCTTCAACCTGGAATTCTTCCTCCTTCCTCCCTCAACCTCTGCCTCCTTCCTCCTCGCCCTCCTTCTTCCTCCTCGCCCTCCTTCTTCCTCCTCGCCCTCCTCCTCCTCCTTCCTCCTCGCCCTCCCCCGCCTTCCTCCTCTCCCTCCTCCTCCTTCCTCCTCGCCCCTCCTCCTCCTCCTTCCTCCTCGCCCCCTCCCCCGTCTTCCTCCTCGCCCCTCCTCCTCCTCCTTCCTCCCCCGTCTCGCCCTCCTCCTCCTTCCTCCTCCTCCCCCTCCTCCTCCTCCTTCCTCCTCGCCCTCCCCCCTCGCACTCTTCCTCCTCGCCCTCCTCCTCCTCCTTCCTCCTCCTCCCTACCCCGCCTTCCTCCTCGCCCTCCTCCTCCTTCCTCCTCGCCCTCCTCCTTCCTCCTCGCCCTCCCCCCGTCTTCCTCCTCCTCGCCCTCCTCCTCCTCCTTCCTCCTCGCCCTCCCCCGTCTTCCTCCTCGCCCTCCTCCTCCTCCTCCTCCTCGCCCCCCTCCTCCTCCTTCCTCCTCGCCCCTCTCCTCCTCCCTCCTCGCCCTCCTCCTCCTCCTTCCTCCTCGCCCTCCCCCGCCTTCCTCCTCGCCCTCCTCCTCCTTCCTCCTCGCCCTACCCCGCCTTCCTCCTCGCCCTCCTCCTCCTCCTTCCTCCTCGCACCCCCGTCTCCTCCTCCTTCCTCCTCGCCCTCCCCCGTCTTCCTCCTCGCCCTCCTCCTCCTTCCTCCTCGCCCTACCCCGCCTTCCTCCTCGCCCTCCTCCTCCTTCCTCCTCGCCCTCCTCCTCCTCGCCCTCCTCCT